TTCACCACCCTAAGCTTTATCTAACGTTCATTTAAGTTACGAGCAAGTTTTGGGGAGCAGATAAAGAGCAAGCAAAGCAATGTCATATTAATCACTTAGCAATGTGGCCAAATTACACAAGTGAACTCAACGAACGATTTATACCGTTGAAAGAAGAACTTTTAAAAGTTCATGGAATTTGCCGTGGAAAGGTTTGGGAATTATTGGCTCAAAAATGAAGTGGTAAAAGGGATGGCTATTACACAAACGAACAGGGAGAGGTAATCTCAGAAATGTATATAGTAGATCTTACTTAGAACAACCAAAAGGAAATGAAGAGAGAAAATTATTCACTGAGGCCGTTTATCAACATTTTGAAGATACAACGTCGTTTATCATAGCTGAGTTTGTAGGGGAAAAGATACCATGTACATATACGAATAATAATGAAAGGCCTTCCAATTGGTTCACACTTTGGCTGCAAAACGTTGATACTGTTAGTTCAGTCGGCACTTGGGGATCAGCAACTTGAAACGATATACGCGCTACGGTGTATATTGACTGACAATGCAAGCAGTAGATGACGTGGATGGTTTGCGTTTTGAAATATTTGGTACAGCAAGATCCAGTCTCTTCAAATTAGGTGTTACTGAGCAGAATATGGTCCCAGTGATCGTGATCTCTCTTCACAGGTACGATAATGCATCCCCAAATCATCTTGGTGGCATCTTACGATCATGTTCGAACTACAGATTCCTGGCTAGAATGGCGTAGAAATGGAACTGTGCATCTATGAACATTGAATTGAAGGGCGTTTCCCGTAAAACATTGCTAAGCTTCGTTAAGTATTTCTTGATGTGGAAGCGAGCCCTTGGGTTTAGTTTAGATAATCCAGATTTTAGCGTCCTCCGCAAACAGGCATTGATTGGACCCTAACATATTAGGTGGATCATTTATGAATGCGAGAAAAAGTCAGGGATCAAGTACGGACCGTGGTGGAACTTCGTGAGTGACCTTGATAGAACCGGGAACAGGGAATTAGAAACACGAACTAACGTGGTCCATTGTCACAGAAATGTTCTAATCCAATGCAGAACAAAACCTCAACTACCGTAAATGTAAAGCCTTTGCAACAAAATTTGGTGGTTTATCCGATCAAATGCTTTCAAGAAGTCCAGATTGATCACATTACCCGCACCCGCTTCGTTGACTGTTCGGGTTCCATTCATCTCGAACAAGAAGCAAGCTGATGGAACAGGATTGTTTTCCCCTGGGCCGATGTTAAGCTGACTTAAGAATCTGGTATCTTTCTCTCTCTCTAACTGTTCTATAAGGAAATCTGACACATTTGACTCCACGACTTTTGTTAACACTGGAAGGAGGGTTACTGGCCAGTAGTTAGGGCGGTCACCACAAAACTTCCCTCGTATATGGGTTTCCTTGATACCACGATTGCGGGAGTGTTGTTTGGTCAAAGATTCGTTGGAATAGAATGGCTAGTGTGGTTCAGATATGTGATTCACGAAAGGAATAGGGATTTCAGGTTTATATTGTTCGCCCATGGGTTTCCATATTTTGCAAAGCTTTTAGTAGTGTCTTGACGTTTTCACCAGTAAATATTACGTTGGTCACCGAACGAAATGGAAGATGATGCAACCAGGGAGGTAGCTGTAGATCTTCAAACTGTGGTGTAGTAAAAACGTGGGAATTCTGAATTTTCAGCATTTTAGTTGCTTTCGTCGAAGTAGTTTCAACTCTCCCAGCGCAGCTTAATGTCAGTATACCTAACTTGACTTTCTGAATTGAGTTAACGTGCTTGTACAATAGCTTGGCAAAGGGACTGAATCACTGTGGTATATCAGCTTATCCCAATGAGTCATCCTGGCACAATGATTTCTCAGTATTTGGTAGTTATACTTAGTGACGATATCCGGAAGAAATTAATAATTTCACTATGATTAATTCCTCATAAATATCCATTTCCTCGTGTGACTTTCGGATTTTAAATTTAGTAATTACTCTAGTTTTAATCAATGATGTTAGTTTATAATTGTGTAAGCTATACAATTATTCCGGATTGAACAGGTGCGTGTGTGTGCGTGGAAAGTGAGAGACAGAAGGTGGTTGTAAATGGATGGGTAGGTGAATGAACTGAGAGATCGTGAGAGCAGAGTACATCACCAAATTGTTAGTGGATGACCGTGGTTATGAATAAGCGGACATTCTGCGCTGAAACCGATGGTGAACAAGGGCGAGTTAGATTTAACAAAATTCAATCAGACAGTCAACGAAACAGTTTAAAACAATTAGGAAGGTCAAACAGTGTAACTCCTTGAAAAACATTACTAACTGAGCTTTGTAAATCCAAGTCAGCTTTTTTTGGCGGCGAACGATCTACAGTACCGGAGTGCTTGGACGCTGATCAACATTGTATGATGATGAACCTAATCTTCGGAACTGGTGCGTGTGTCGTTTCATATTTGTTTGGGCAACACGGAGAATTCAGAAAAATCCGTACCTATCTATCTCTCCAAAGGACTGTCCTTAAAATTTAGTCGGCTAATATAGTGTGGACATTTGCACGATGACCAATTTAATTTAATGTCCAGGACGTTGAGGCAAAGTCAAAGTTTTATTATGGGAATAGCTTACAAGCTGGTGCTTCTCTTGTCCCATAGGATGTTTGC